TATGAAGAAGATATTCTTTTTTTTTAAATGATGCATTATAAGGAAAATCGCTAAAAATGTGATGGATACTTAATGAAGATGATGTTTGGCACTGGCTGCTGGCTTTGTCTCTCTGTTTTTACTGTACACTCATAATCTGACGCAAGATTTGAGCCTTAAACGTACACCTTAAACTTACACCTTGATTAGATCTAAGTTTAAAAAGTGCATAAAAATGTAAAAAAAAAAAAAAAAAACAGCTGGTCAGCAAATAACAAAAATAAGATTGTCATTAAATCAAACACAATACCCTGATATTTAACTGGACTAGCTTCGAACAGGACTTACAGCAGTTTGTTTTTTGTAGCAAAAATGTGATGCATCCAGTTTTGATACTATGTCCTACCTTCAAACAACCTTGCAAGAGTTAGAGAACTCCAAAACCACCACTCTCGAGTCTTTACTGTACGTATGAAGCTGATCGTGTTTGCCAATGAAAAGATTTAACAAAATAAGCAATCTGACAAACAGAACAGATTTTCTTCTCAACTTTTAGGTTGCAGAGCTGGGGCTATTCTAAACGGGGTTTCCACCCCCAAAGATGCATGTATCAGTTTTCACAGCAGACTCCGGTTTCTCTCCACAGTCCAAGAACATGCATGTCAGATTATCCATACACACCAAATTACCCTTGGGTGTAAATGTGTGTGTGCTTAGTTATTTATCTTGTATGTATTTGATGATTCCGTAGTTAAAAGTATGACTTTTAATATTTGTGACACTATGAACAAAAGCTATTAGTGCACTAAACTATAGATTTCTTTCTAGTACTTAAAGATTGCAAATTTTATTGATAGAAATATTTCAACCAAATGAAAGATCAAATTCAGTTGTTAAGTTGTGATGTAAAGTATCAAGAAGAAAAAGCCATCAAAGTAATTGCCCTCTAAACTTGATACTTACATGTGCCCCAAAGGGCAACTACAACTGTCACCACTCACTGTTTACAGACTTTGTGACATTGCTGCAGCAGGTCTTCTTCTGGCCCTGAAAAAAGTCTTAGTAAAGGTGCTGGAGGCCGAGAAATAATCCAGAAGCAAACAAAGGATTTCCGCACACTGACCGGAAACTCACATTAAAGCGAAATCACACACAGATCAAGTGTGTGTAATTCCTAAATAGTCTGTTTAAAGTCAGACCACTGCACCACAGTCTGATTTGAGTCTGCTAAGAGGTGGAACTGATGGTATGCTTAGGATCATTGCTATATAATTTAAATGCTTTTCAGTTGAAGGTGATAAAATGAAGGTTTTCCAGCAGAGAGAAGAATTACTGGTTTTAATCAATAACAGTGATGAAGTTGTTCAGATCCTAAAGAATCAAAGTAACTGAACCCATCCCATCACCCCCACCATGCTCAACTCTCTTCATGTTCTGTGATGCTGTCATAGTTATACCGTTATTCTTTAAAAGGGTTTGGTTACAGTTTTTTTAAATGGGAAAAGAACACTTCACAGATTTTCTCTTTTTTTGTTGTTATTTTTACTTTAAAAAGCTTTAACAATGACTTGGAACCTCTTTCCCCACAGTGAGATACCAATGACTGTTTTATGCTTTGTTTAAGGGTCAAATGCCATTTTAAAGCCCTGTAATTTTGGGAAATAAAGCAAAAGTTGGTGTAAATATATGCAGAAAAGATTCACGTCCAGTTGTGAAGATCCAAGTGGAAGTACTTCAAAAACTGAAATCACGCAGAATTAATAAGAGAGGTGTGGTGCCTTTTATATAGCTGGGATGAAAAAAGAAACTCAATGACCTCAATGAAACTGTTATAGTGCTCAATCATTTCCATCTAATCCCCTCAGTGGTACAGTGCCAAGCCTTTGGCACGCTAGTGCAGCTGCAGACATGTCTTCACCAGGCAGGTATTACGATGCTTGGATGATCAAAATACCACCTAGAAACACCGATTCTCATAATAAACCCAAAGTTTTCTTTAAAGCTACAGTGTGTAATAATTACAGGGATATACAGTCAGAAATGTAATATATTATACATAACTATGTTATTTTATCATCATCTACGAGCTCAGCCTCTTAACCTTAATATTTGCGTTGCCTTAGAATTCGTTATTTATAATTACATAGGTGCGGGTCTCGCAGCCATGGAGGCAGACATCTTTGCGCTACGGCAGCGCAGAGGCAACAAACTAGCGATTACGAGATCACCCATTACGCTCGAAAGAAACTACGGCAAGTTGAGAGAGATGAACTGAGACGGTACTGAACAATATACCCTACACAGACTAATGAAATACTATCTGTAAAATTATCTATGTAAACAAACCTCATCACTTGAGAAGGTAGGTGATGCGGACGTCGTGGAAGACATTTTGTCCCGTAACGCTCGCCGTACTGTTGGGGGGGAGAAGCGGTGGGGGGGAGATGTTCATGTTGCTGCAGTCTGCAGTCTGACCGCTAGATGTCGCTAAAAGTTACACACAGAAGCTTTAAGTGTTCTTTTTTTAAATGAACGTTGGGAAATCCAGATGGATGATAAGCAAAGATAACATCCAGTGTAATATTTCTGTTTTTCAGTGCAAAATTTTCAAAAATGTGCACATCCATGTTAAAATGCCTTGTTTTTGTCTTCTAGGAAAACAGAGTTTATGACATATGTCCACAAAATAATGTAAGTGAAAAAAGTATTACCCCAAACAATATAAAAAATGAAAAGTCACAGTTACCGTTTTGCATTAGGGTCCAAACAAGTAATACTTGGTTGAAGCAGCTTTTGGTTCAGGATGAACATATTTAAGATCACATCTGTTATTATATACTTCTGTCCTCATATGAATTAGTTATTAATGCATTTCCATCCTTCCACTAAAGCCCAATTTTACATTTTTAATCATCTCACTGCATGCACACATACATACATACACATGTATATGTACATACATATATATAAATATACATATGTATACATATATATATACATATATATATATATGTATATATATATATACATATATATATATATATATATATATATATATATAT